CCCTCTAGAACTTCTGTCATGGCATCCCATAGATTTTGTGCTGTTGTGTGTTCATTTTTATTGTTTTCCAGGAAGTTTTTAATTTCTTCTTTGATAACCCATTTATTGTTTAGTAACATGCTATTTAGCTTCCATGTGTTCAAATATCTGTGCATGTTCTTGTTGCAATTGATTTCTAGTTTTATGCCATTGTGATCTGAGAAGATGCTTGATATGATTTCAGCCTTTTGAACTTGTAAAGACTTAGCTTGTGTCCTAACATGTGGTCTATCTTTGAGAATGTCCTATGTGCACTTGAGAAGAATGTGAATTCTGAAGTTTTGAGGTGTAATTCTCTATACATATTTATTAAATCCATTTGATCTAGTGCATCATTTAGAGTCTGTTTCCTTGTTAATTTTTAGTCTAGAGGATCTATCCAGTGATGTCAGTGGGGTGCTGAAGTCCCCTGCTATGATTGTATTGCTGTCAGTTTCTCTTTTGAAGTCTTCCAGAATATTTTTAATATATTCTGGTGCTCCTATATTGGGTGCATATATGTTTACCAAAGTTATATCTTCCTGTTGGATAGATCCTTTCAATATTATGTAGTGGCCTTCATTTTGAAATCTTATTTTATCAAATAGGAATATTGCTACCCCAGCTTTTTTTAATTTTTTTTATTTTCGTTTGCTTGGAAGATTTTTTCTCCTCCCTTCACTTTCAACCTATGTGAGTCTTGTTGTGAGGTGGGTCTGTTGTAAGCAACATATGTATGAGTCATGCTTTCTTATCCAATCAGCTACCCTGTGGTTTTTTATCAGAGTGTTCAGTCCATTTACATTGAAGGTGATTATTCATATGTACTTATTTATTGCCGTTTTTCTTTATTGTGGTTATATTTTTCTTCCTATTTCTTCTACTAATTACATCAGTCCTTTTAAGATTTCTTGTAGTGCTGGTTCAGTGCTAATATATTTCCTTAGCCTTTTTTTGTGTGTGTGTCTGGGAAGCTCTTTATTTGACTTTCTATTTTGAATGATAGCTTTGCTGGATAGAGTAGTCTTGGATTCATATACTTGTTTTTCATGAACTTGATTACTTCATGCCATTCCCTTCTGGCCTGTAATGTTTCTGTTGAGAAGTCAGCTGATAGCTTTATGGGGGTTCCTTTGTAGGTAACCTGTTGCTTATGTCTTGCTGCCTTTAGGATTTTCTCTTTGTCTTTAATTTTTGGCATTTTAATTAGTATATATCTTGGTGTGGGCCTGATTGAGTTCTTCTTACTTGGGGCTCTCTCTGGTTCTTGAAGTTGAATGCCTTCTTCCTTCATTAAGTTAGGGAAGTTTCCTGTCACTATTTCTTCAAGTATATTCTCTAACCCCTGTTCATTTTCTTCTTCTTCTGGAAGTTCAATGATGCCAGTGTTGTTATGTTTCCAGTTTTCCCACAGTTCTCTTAAGCAGTCTTTTTGTTTTTCACTTTTGGTTTTCTGATTGGTTGATTTTTTTCTACCCTGTCTTCTAATTCACTGATCTGGTCCTCAGCTTCCACTACTCTGCTGGTTATCCCTTCCAATGTATTCTTTATTTCTGCTATGTCATTCTTCATTTCCACTTGGTTGATTGTCAGTGTTTCTCTATCTTTACTCATTCTTTGAGCTTCCTCAAGATCATGACTCTGAACTCTTACCTATGATAACTTGCTGAACTGCATTTCATTTATTTCATCTTCAGTAGAGTTCTCTTGTTCTTTCATCTGTGATTTGTTTCTTTGTTTCACCATTTTGACTATCTCAGTGGTTTTTTGACCCTGCCAAATTTTCCCTGGGGGTATTGGTGTTCTGCTGTTTGTGGCTCCCTCTACTGGGGTTGGATGAGTGAGGGAGGACCCATGTTCAATACCACTGTCAAGTCTTACTTTCCTGGGTAGATTTGCAAGTCCAGGAAAGGTTTGGTTATCCTCTAGCTTTTTGCCTGGAGGCTATTAGTCTCAGTTACTTAATGAGCCTTGGGTTGTATCCCTCTGCTGAATGAAAAACTCCCTCAGGTGTTCACTGTAAGAGGATTTCCAGAGGGTGAGGCAGATGTTGTTTGTTAATAAGCCTCAATTTTCATTTCTCTGGCCCACCAGGTGGGGTTGAATCTCCAAGGAAGAGGCTGCTGCTTCTCCCCAGAGCACCAGGAAGGGGCTCTCCGAGCAACATTACCACTGTCCTATGTGCCTGTGACTCAGCAAAAACTCTGAGCGCCCTCCAAATCCCGAGTGTCCCCATACAGTTTCAGTCCATTCTGCCCTCACTCTGCTGGAGCCCAGGGTGAATGGCTGTAGCTACCTTAGTGCTCTGTCTCAGCCCTCTGCACTGTGGAGCAGGCTTGGGATTTTAACCTTGAGGAAGCTGCTCACAGCTCAGACAGCTGCTGTCCCTGGGCTCTCAGCCCGCCACCTCGCACCGCCACAGACTCACCAGGCTCAATTCATTGTTTTTTTTTTTGTTTTTTTTTTCTGTTCCTGGTTATATGGGTCCTCTCCAGCTGCGTTTCTGTTGCTTTTTCCTGACGATTTGTCTTTATTTTAGTTGTAATTGCAGTTTGGTTTTGTGAGAAGGTATGTGTAGCTTCCATTCACTCCACCACCATTTTGGAATCCTTCTATTTTTAGTTAATAAATTTATTTATTTCAGCCTCATTATTTAACAATGGTTTATGCTGGAGTCAAAGCTTTTTTTGTCTTTGGATTCCAAGTTTTTGATCAACAGTTATTTTTCCTCTTGCTTCATCTACTGGTATCAGAAATCTGCTGTTATTCTGACTTTTTTTTTTTTGTAGATGATCATTCCACCTGTCCTCCCACCCCTGCTATATTTAAACTCTTCTTCTTGTCTTTGGTGCTCTGCATTTTAACTATAGTGTGTTTACACATATATTTCTTTTTGTTTATCCTACTTAGGATATCTTGTTTTCTGAATCTTTGATTCATATTTTTTTAATCAGTTCTGGAAGAATCAGGCAATCTCTACCTAAATATTGCCACCTCTTTATTCTTTCTGTTCTCTCTTTCTGGGATTCTAATTAAACATATATTATACCTTTTTAAAAACATTTTTTTTCCCTTTACTAATTTTTAGAGAGAGAGGGAGAGAGATAGAAACACTGATGAGAGAGAACATCAATTGGCCACCTTCTGCATGCCCCCCACTGGGATTGGGCCTACAACCTGGGCACGTGCCCTGTCCCGGGAATCAAACCAGCGACCTCCTGGTACATGGGTCAATACTCAACCAGTGAGTCATACCGGCTGGGCTATGCCTTTTTCTTAATTGATTTTTTTTTTTTTTTAGAGAGAGAGAGATAGAAACATTGATCAGCCGCCTGCTGGGGATCGAGCCTGCAACTCTGGCATGTGCCCAGACTGGGAATTGAACCTGGACCTCTCAGTCCATGGGCCAATGCTCAATCCACTGAGCCACACTGGCCAGGCTATTATTCCTTTTTATTCTAGCTGTCATATCTCTTAATATCTTTTTTCATATTTTTCTCACCTTGCTGTGCTTTGTTCTAGGTAATTTCTTTCTCTCTGTCTTCTAATTCACTGACTTTGGCCTCTAGCGGCTAATTCGTTTGACGTGTTAATTGACTATTTAATATTAAATTCATGAGATAATGCCAAATAATCCTTTGTTGATCTTTGTGATAATGACCTTCATTTATTTAAAACATTTTATGCATAGCTATTCTATATTCTGTATCTGAACAAGTTTGATAGCTGAAATTTTGGGGAAGTTTACATTTAAAAAAATTATCACTTCTGCTGACTTTTAATCACAGTGCCATGTCTTCTCATGTTTCACTTTTTAAAAAATTTTTTATCATCACCTGAGGGTATACTTTTTACTTATTTGAGAGAGAGAGAGAAGCATTGATCAGTTGTCTCGGTATGCGCCCCGTCCTGGGATGGAACCTGCAACCTTTTGGTGTATGGGGTGACATTCCAACCACCTGAGCCAAACCAGCCAGGGCTTGTTTGACTATCTTAAATGTTTTACTCTTTAATTAATAATTGATGGGAGTTCTATAGACCTAAATTGAGAAGTAGAGAAACCTTCTTTCAGAGAAGATTGTCTTCTGCTTCTGCTAATAGCCAAAGTGTAACCCTTGCTTAAGACTAGTTGGGCATCTTCTTAAGCATCTTTAATCAGAAAAGATGTCCCAGACTTTTCTCTGCCATCCCACTACTGGTGTAAGTCTTCCCTGCTAATTACACTGCTGTAGATCCACCTCTCTGTGCTGCCTAATGTTCAGTGGCCTCCTGTTCTACTCAGCTCCTATTGTTCAAACACCAGGTTTTCTTCTTGTTTGTTTTTTAGAGAGGGAATGTGTCAGGGGGTATTGAGGCTTGGCAACTTCTCCTACCACTTGTGAAACCCTTGTCTCAATGAGAAATGTCCTTTCCAAGTGTTGTTGTTGTTGTTAATCCTCATCTGAGGATATTTTTCCATTAATCCTTAGATAGAGTTGGGGGCGGGGGCGAGATAGAGAGAGAAAAACATGGATGTGAGAGAGACACATCAATTGTTTGCACAACCCCGACCAGGGCTGGGATCAAACCTGCAACTCAAGAACCTACTCTTGACCACGAATCAAACCTGAGACCCTTTGGTCCACAACCCAACCACTGAACCAAACTGGCCAGGTTCCCTTTCTATGTTTTAATTTTAGTTTAGTGGATGGGGTCCTGGAAGCTTCTAGTTAGGCATAATATGAAAGGCTAAGGTTATTAAACATTATTAGACTGTTTATCTTTGTACCAAAGATATAAAAACTAAAATAATACTGAAACTGAGAATAAATTGAGAAAACTCAATAAAGGGTTCATAGACAAATATGTCATGACCTAAACTAGTCAAAATAGCCTAATCTTGTGAGAACACATCACAATCATTTGCTTATATTATATTGAGGACTTCAACAATTACTACCACATATAGTAACTGAAATGGTTTTCTTTTCTATTTTATCTAGGCTGCTACTGAAGAGGAGAATAGCCATGGTCAAGCAAATGGTATTCTGAATGCTCCAAGCCTTGGCTCACCGATTCGTGTCCGCTCAGAGATTACTCAGCCAGACAGAGATGTTCCGTTGGTGCGGAAATTACGTTCTATACACAGCTTTGAGCTGGAAAAACGTCTGACACTGGAGCCAAAGCCAGATACTGACAAGTTTCTTGAGACCTGGTATAAAATGATTTTTCTTCTTTTATTAGAGCTACTAAGATACTATTTTAAAGTCTTATTTATCTATTTTTATTATGTAATGTCTTTCAAATAAGAAATTCTTGCATTCCTGTAGCACTGCTTTGATTAAGTTCTCATCTTCATCCGTGTTTTTAATTATCATCCTGATTTTTTAATGTGAATTATCTCCTAATATTGTTACAAGTTCTATAATGTAGGCTTTGGCTTTGGGAGCTGAGCAGTGGGAGCTGGTATCTTCATAATACCAGGTATAAGTCCAGTGAACATTTTGAAATGCCTTTGTTTGGAAGGTGATCTCTTATTGGAATGGAGAAGATTCAGTGTAGAGCTGGAGAGGGCATTAGCAGAAAGGAGAGGAGTACATGAGAGAGGGAAGAAAGTAATTTTTACACAAGGAATAGGCAATTCAATTCATTTTAATGAAGGCTGCTGTAAGTGCTGTTGGGAAAAGAGACATAATAAGTTTATCATTCTACCCAGAGAGAAGAAAATATGGAACCTAGACATCCATAAATTGGTAATGACTGCAGTTAATGGTTATGAGGCCCATTATCCTCCAAGTCTGATAACAGAAACAGAATGAAACTTTTAAAATAATTTGGGATATATTTATGAATTATATAAGGCTTTAATAATATTAAGACCTGAGTAACTTTAATAATAGTCACACTCTTCAGTGTATATCCCTGGTGACTACTATTGGCAGTGGAATAGTAGGTTAGTAGGACCATGTATTTGACATGGTAGTAACTATGTCCAGAGACAATTCAGCCACTCTGGCCTAGTCCAATCTGACTTCCATTTTATTTATTTATTTATTTTTTGGTGGTACGTGCCCCTAGCAGGAACCCTACCCAGGACTCTCTGGTCCGCAGGCTGACGCTCAACCGCTGAACCAAACTGGCCAGGGCCTGACTTCCATTTTAAACAGTCCTTTATATATGTGTATTCTTCCTCATATGGTAATCATTCAACCTCATAGCTATGTGATGTAAGCTTGTGTCTGTATGTTGATATGATCAAAAGGACGGACTAGGATTGGGGCAGTATTTAAACATTTTGAGTTGTGGCTAAGATTGGGAATAAATATAAAGGTACAATAGAGATAAAAGCTTAGTTTGGTAAGGAATTAGTCTAACAAAAGGATGGAACTTTTTATAAAGAGAATCATGCTGAGGGAAGAGCTGAGAGGTAAGACAGAATTGAAAACAGAAGTGAACTCAAGCCAGAACCTAGAATGAATAGAGAATTGAAGCATCTAATTACAAACTTAAGGAAAGGAAAAAGTGTATTGTTCAAACTACTTCCTTATAGATGAGATCAGTTCTCAGAAGCCAGTGCAGCCAAATAGCACCAGTCACACTATATTGCCTGCCCCTCACGCAGCAGAGAGATTTGTATATACAATGTTAATTGCCTCTTGATCCAACAAAACTGAAAATATACCCTGAAGCTTCCTTCATACCACTATCAACACCCCACCACCACATATTGACTTCTGTGTGCAGTGGGCTGGGTGTGGGTCAGCAGGTACAGTACCTTCTCTTCTTCAAAGCCCTGCCTTTGGAGGAGTGTAATTGAATGAGTATACATTTGCATACATTGCTAGAGACAGACAAATGCAGAAAGTATTTTCCTTATGTATACTAGCTTCTTTATTTCTTTTTAAAAAAATAGTTTATTGACTTTTTTAGAGAGATAGGAAGTGAAAGGGAGAAGGGGGAGCATCTATGTGACAACATAACAAATGGATTATACAAGTCAACCCAGTTAGGCTTCTTTCCTGCCCTAAAGCAGGAGAGACATCTTCCTCCCATGGGTTCCATCTTTCAAAATTGTATTATGACAGGTGGAGAAGAGCATTATCAACCTGTGAAACTTTTCTTATGCTTTATCCATACTTTTTTTCTCTGATCTCTGTGTGAATATTAGTTCTGTATACAGCCTTACAGGTTATGCAATGAATATTACTCTTGGACAGTTGAGTAACTTTTCTCTGTTTTCTTAAGCCTGGAGAAAATGCAGAAAGATTCCAGTGCAGGAAAGGAACCTGTTCTTCCTGCTCTACTTCATAAGCCTTGTATTCCTGCTGGGGCCCGTACTGACCGAATCTGGAACCATGATGAAGAATATCTTCCAGATGCTTCTAAGCCTGCCTCTGCCAACACCCCTGAGCAGGCGGTTGGTGGTGGCAGCAATGGATTTATAGCAGTTAACTTGAGCTCTTGCAAGCAGGAGGTTGATTCTAGAGAATGGGTGATTGTGGACAAGGAGCAGGATCTCCGGGATTTTAGGACAAATGAGGCTTTAGGCCATAAAACAACAGGGAGCCCTTCTGATGAGGAGCCTGAAGTACTTCAAGTTCTAGAGGAATCACCTCAAGATGAAAAGCTCCAGTTGGGTCCTTGGGCAGAAAATACTCATTTAAAGAAGGAAACCTCAGGTGTGATCTTAGCACTTTCTGGGGAGTGTCCTGCCACTGCTGCTTCAGAGCAATATACAGATAGACTAGAACGCCAGGCTGGAGCTGGCAGTCAGTGTATTGCAGCAACACCCACAAGTCCAATGGAGGCACAAGCAGAAGGACCCCTTACAGCGGTAAGAGATTTGTTCCTGTTATTTATCTGTTATCCACTCAAGGTGTCATTAAGAAAGGACTAACAGTTGATCAATTAAGGTTCTTCAGCAGAGGCCTAAGTAGGCAAATGGGTATAGGGAGTGATGCGTGAACTAGTTAGTTTCCAGTATGAAAATTCTCCAAAAGTGAGGTTTCCTGTCAGGATACCAACTCAATACACAAGCTGTCATTATAACCTAATTTCAGAATAATATTTAGACTTAGACCACAGAACTATCTATCTATGTATATATAATATGATTTTAAAAAAACTTACAATTCTATATATTTCAAATATCTACATAGAAATATAGTAAGGAAGGTATATATGTAACCTTATTCATAGCTTGTACTTTATACTGTTGCTAAGTCTAATTCTTTTTTTTTTTCCCCCTTTCTCTTTTGTAACCTCTACCTAGACATTTCTCATGGCTTACATTCTTCTTAAGCAGTAGTTTTACAGCTTTGATGTCCATTGTTTAAAATACAGGGTCTTGGGCTCACTTTCAGAACTTCTGCTTCAGGAGGTCTGGGGTAGAGGAACCCAGGAATCTGAATTTTAACAGCAGCTCAAGGCAGTTGTGATAGGTCTTCTGCAAAGGAATGTTTTGAGGAGACTTCTCTGTGCTCTCATTTTGGGCATTCAGCTGGAGACTGCTGTTACACTGTTGTCTTCAGTAAGCAGTGCTGCACCTATGACGGTCAGTATGAGTAACAGAAGCTCCAAAAAAGCCAGATATGGAGGCAGTGAGGAACCGTGTACACAAATCTTAGGCACCAACCGGTACATCTGTTCTTACATGGGTGGGAATACCAGGTTTTCTTAAATCCCATCATCATCTAGCAGCCCTCTCTTCCAACTCACCAGAAACAGCATTGTTCCCCAGGCTGAAATGGTTTTTATCAGAATACAAGTCCTCCTGCAGGTGTGAAACAGTGAGAATAGATAACAAAATTTGATTTTATGAATAGCTCTGTAGGAATTTACCTGCACTATAAAATAGGAAAATAAATGCCTACCTCTTATTTTTTATCTGTTTATTTTTTAATTCTCACCGAAGGACATACTTAGAGAGAGAGAGACAGGGAGAGAGAGAGAGAGAGAGAAAGAAACATGCCGTGACTGGGAATTGAACTGGCAACCCTTTGGTGCACAGGTTGACACGCAACCAACTGAGCCAGTCCGGCCAGGCTACCTTTTGTTTTAATCAGTTAGTTGATCTTTCCTTCTTTCCCCAAACTGCTTTGTACAATTATATAAGTTCTTTACTGCATACCTAGCCAAAGGAATAGTTGAGGCTGAAATCAAGCCCAAACTCTGCTAGCCAAACTGTGCATCTTTGTGCAGGGCTGTTGCCTCTTCGAACAGCATCCTTTTCCAAATTGTACAAAGGTACTCTGTGGGCTAGAGGCAAGTCCTACCATCTCCCTCCCATCTCTGTATCACTTTTTCCACCCCACCTTTTCACTTTCCATTCATATCTTCTTTCCACCTTCCTAGATTCAATTTCTTCTTTTCTTTGACTCTAAATGCTACGTACTCACTGTTGTTCAAGTATTTTTCCAATTGCATTCTGGTATGCTTCCCTTCAAAAGGCTTTCTAAATAATTTATTTATTTTTTTTTAATCCTCATCCGAGGACATTTTTCCATTTTTTGCATAGACAGAGTGGGAGGGAGAGAGAGGAAGAGAGAGAGAGGGAAACATCGATGTGAAAGGGACACATCGAGTGGCTGCCACCCGCACGACCAACCAGGGCCGGGGACAAACTGCAACCGAGGTACATGCCCTTAGCGGGAACCGAACCCGGGTCTCTCCGGACCGCAGGCGGACACTCTAACCGCTGAGCCAAACCGGCTAGGGCAAACTTTGGCTTCATTTCTTCTAGTATTTTTGTCCTCTCCCATCAATGCTGTTCTGTCCACAAAGGTTGTTCTCTTGGTTTTCTTACAATATATGCAACATTTTCTGTATCAAGTTGTTGAAAGACTTGTATTTATATATTTAATATTATAAATTTGACCTTTTTTCAAATATTTTTAAGTAAAATTTTTCTTAACTGAAGATCTCTAAAGAAATGTCAGCTGCATCACTTTTTTACTTATGTCTAAGGTATTAAACTTACCATTTCCTTCATTTTGGGGGGCTTTGAATAAAAATATATTTATCTTTGCCTGGCCGGTTTGGCCCAGCAGTTGGAACGTCAGCTGGCAGACCAAAGTTGCAGGTTTGATTCAAACACATGTATCTCAGTTGCAGTTCAATCAATGTGTCTCTCTCATATCAGTGTTTCTCTCACTTCCCCCTTTCTCCCTCCCACTTTATCTGAAAGATCAATGCAAAAATGTCCTTGGGTGAGGATTAAAAAAAAAAAAAAAGGGAAGACAATCAAACTTTTATATATATATGTTTTTTTTTTATGTGGGAGGGAGAGGAGGGGAAGAGAGAGAGAAACATCGATGTGAGCGAGACACATCAACTGGTTGCCACCCACACAGCCCCAACCAGGCTGGGAACAAACTACAACCAAGGTATGTGCCCTTAGCGGGAACCGAACCCAGGGCTCCCTGGTCCGCAGGCTGACGCTCTAACCGCTGAGCCAAACTGGCCAGGGTGATTATCTCCCTTTTTAAAAATTTTTTTATTTTATTGATTTTAGAGAGAGAAAGAGAGAAACATCAATCAGTTGCCTCCTGCATGTGCCCCGACCAGTGAACAAACCCACAACCTGAGTATGTGCCCTGACCCAGAATCAAATCTGCCACCCTTTGGTGTAGGGGATGACACTCCAACCAACGCCAGGGCTTGATTGTTTTTTTCTTCTTCTTCTTCTTCTTTTTTTTTTTTTTTTTGGTGTTAATCCTCACTCCGGGATATTTTTATATTGATTTTTAGAGCGAGTGGAAGGGGGGAAGTAGAGAGAAACATCCAAGTGAGAGAGACACATCGATTGGTTGCCTCCTGAAGGACCCAGACCAGGGCCAGGGATTGAACCTGCAAACCTGGTATGTGATCTTGATCAGAATTGAACCCGCAACCTTTGGTCTTTGGGATGATGCTCTAAACACTGAGCAAAACTGGCCAGGGTACTGATTATCTTCTTGAGGCTTAAATTCAGAGTTTACTGTTGCAAAGTAGATGTTATCACTTCCTTAAATTATGATGATAAGCACATTAAATACAGAGCATCATTCCTATCTTGAGTGCTGAAAGAGGAGAGTGGCTGTTACCAGAATCTGGTAAAAGTCAGATCTGTGGGAATGGTCCCATGTAACAGGAGCTATGAACCAGAGTGATTGAATGTATCCACCACTAAACCTGCAGTCCCTTAGAGAGGGAGCAGAGAAAATTAATACCCAGACCTTTTTCTCCTCAAGTTCTGATTCTCTGTTGGTACGGGTCATTGGACAAACCCAGAAGTCAGAAGGCAAGGGAGTCTCGGTAGCACAGTCGGAAGAAGTTAGTCTTCCAGAACACAGAGCAGGCAAAAGAAAAGGCAGGGGTGAACCTTGAGGGAGACTGTGCTGTACAGTTCCTGAGTAGGGGAGTTTGAGTGCCATGCGTTTTTTTTTTTCAGAATTGTTCATTTTAAGTATGAGTTAGGCAGACCTGGCCGACATCTTGTGTTCCTGTTAAAAATTAGAATTTGAGGTGTTAAATCTCAAATCCTGCATCTTCATTTATATTCCACATTATTGCATTTTAACTATTTTTTCTTCTCTCCAGATTACACTTCCTCGACCTTCTGTGGCATCTACACAGTCGACTTCAGGAAGCTTTCACTGTGGTCAGCAGCCAGAGAAGAAAGACCTTCAGCCCATGGAGCCCACTGTGGAACTTTATTCTCCAAGGGAGAACTTCTCTGGCTTGGTTGTAACAGAGGGAGAACCTCCTAGTGGAGGAAGCAGAACAGACTTGGGGCTTCAGATAGATCATATTGGTCATGACATATTACCCAATGTTAGAGTGTGTGACAAATCCCAAAACCTGGGACCAAAAGACCTTCCTGACCATAACAGACTGGCTGTGAGAGAATCTGAAAGTCTCCATAGGGAAACTGAAGAAAAAAGCATTCTGCTAGACTCAGATAATGAAGATGAGAAATTAAGTAAAGGGCAGCATTATATTGAGATCTCTCTCCCAGGAGACTTGATAACTGTGGAAAAGGATCACTCAGCGACTACTGAACCTCTTGATATGACAAAGACACAGACATTTAGTGTGGTGCCAAATCAAGACAAAAATCATGAGTTAATGAAGCTTCTGGCAGTTGGAACTTCAGAAATTTCTCCACAAGTCATTGACCCACTTGCTGAAGGACAGATAGACCAGGTGGCAACAATGCAAAACAGTAAGGTATCTAAGGATGATGACATCAAGAATGAAGACTGGCTGGGTCATCAAGGAGACCGCTCTGCCTTTTTGCACCAAGAGAGTAAGGAAGAGAAAATTGCCCCTAGAAATAGAGAGCTATTTAATTGTGTTTCAGAGAGTGAACATTGTCCCCCATCCCGGAAGGATGTGGTTAGGTCATCCTTCATAACTAGACACAGCCGAATCCCTGTTGTAGCACAAGAGGTAGATTCAGCTTTCGAATCATCCTCTTCAGTCTCTGCAAAAGAAAAGCTCCTCCAAAAGAAAGCTTATCAGCCAGACCTAGTCAAACTTCTGGTGGAAAAAAGGCAACTCAAGTCTTTCCTTGGGGACCTCTCAAGTGCCTCTGATAAATTGCTGGAGGATAGACTAGCCACTGTTCCTCCTCCTTTTTCTGAGGAGGAAGTCTTCACTCCTTTTTCAAGACTGGCTATAGGCACCCCCCTGAGCAGGTCAGCTGAAGATAACTTTTTATCACCTATCATCTCCCAGTCCCGAAAGAGCAAAATTCCAAGGCCAGTGTCATGGGTCAACACAGATCAAGTCAATAGCTCAACTTCATTACAGTTCTTGCCTCGGCCACCACCAGGAAAGCCACCCACGAGGCCTGGAGTACAAGCCAGGTAATACTGTACGCTCTCCTTACATCAAGTGTGTAGCAGTGTTTCTGTGTTTGCTTGACTATGATATGTCAGTGGTTTCATTTCTTTGTTGCTGCTTTTGATTGTCTGCCTCCTTCCCTGCTTTTCCCAGGCCTTATAGCACAATGTAATAGTAGGGGTCTGATTGATCCAGGTTCATTCTTAGCTCTCCCGCTTTCTTAAAATGTGAACCTCAATTTCCCTATCCATAAAATGGGTAGAACATTTACTTCATGGTTTTGGGATGATGAAATTAGGGGGGAGTGTATGTCTAAAGCTTCTTGCAGTACTGATTAGCATGCAACAAAGTTCACTTCTCTTCCAGTCCATTTTAACTACATAACCAGTAATTTTCTAGCTTTGGCTAGTCAGAATCCCGATATAAACTGATGTCATTATGATGTCAAATTCTGGTGAAGAATACTGTGCTCTGGTAGTGCTACTGTTTATCTGATTATAATGAATTAAACAAACAAAAATCCTATAGGAGATTTCCCTAGGTCTGATGATAGATACAACTATACATAACAGTTATTGCTTTAATAATGGTATACTTGTTTATTGAATTTATCATGTATACTTGACCATAGAGTAATTATGTTTTGAAGAAGAGGGGGAAATATTGGGAGGTGATGAACCAGTTAAGAGTGCTTTCCTTGGAGCCATACTTTCACAGATGAAAATGGGCTAAACTCGTAGAGAAAAAGGATGTTTTTTACAAAAATAAAGTGAAAATCAAAATACATTCACTTGAAAACTATAGTCTATCCTAGATAATATAACAGTAGGCCTCCACCTGTTATAAGAATTTCTGAAGTGTATTAGAGTGAGATTCTATCTGTATCATTACCCAGCAGAACTTGTTATCCTTACCTTAAAAAAAAAGCTTAGTTTTGACTTGCTCTAGGGTTTCAGGTTCAAGGGTAACAAAACATTAGATTCAAAGTGCCAGTGGGACTAGACTTCCGTAGAAAGAATAATGATAGGTAAACAGCAGTCACTTAGTGAAATTTTTAAAAGGTGAGTCCATGAACAATATTTACACATCCCCCTTTTTCTTCTGCTTGGCATCTGTGCTTATTAAACTTTGTACTGCAGCAAACAAATCTTAATTATCACTCATCATTTAACATTTTATATGTCCCCTAAAATAGTACTTAATAACCAAACCAAGACTCTGGCATTGTGCCAGATATTAGAGCTGACCAGCTTGGAACATGTGGAAACTCAGGGGGAACCCAACTTTTCCACTTAGGTCCTGGCACAGAGGAATTCTTTTATTCCATTTTTTAAATTTTACTGTAAGATCCTTGAGAGGCAGCATAATCTGAATGAGTTTCATGTCATTTTGCAGAATAAGTAGATGGTAGGGAAGGAGGAGGAAAGAAAATTCAGAAGAAAAAACTAGCAATTTGTTGCTGACCCATGATGATGATGCTGGCTGTATATTTTCCTGCATCCTGTATAGGTATTAATGCAACCTTGGAAGTTCTTCTCCCACATCCTTCTGTAAGGAGTGGCATGTCAGCAGTTTGAGGTTTAAATCCTTAAACCAAATGGATATTAAGCTAAAACAGAAAGACATTTAGGGCAAAGAAGACATTGCTATTCATATGAATACTCTCTAGATTTAGAGTTCTGAGTTGCTAGTAAAGAGGGACAGCCAGTCCCCAAACTCAGCTCTTTTAAATCTCAGGCTACTGTCAAGGGCAGAAACTGAGGCCTAGAGAAACCAGTGACTGCTCTTTTATTTTGGAAATCATTAAATGAAGCTGAAATATACTTTTATCTGAAGTTCCTGCTGTTGGTGAGTACAGTTCATGTTGAAGACTTACACTATGGGGTTAATATTTGCATATATGTTTGCAGAATTTCTGTCCTAAGAGCCTTAAACAAAATGTGCTAATATGCTAGAGACATTTTATTTAATCCTAAAATCAGAAGAGTTCAAACATGCCATAAGATAGAGGGGACTAAACATCTGAATGGAAGACCTGGCTAGATACTTTACTTGGGTTATTTGTACTTGGCTGCTCAGTAGCCCTGTGAGATTGATCATATTTCCATTAAAAACTAGGAGAGGTTAAATAATTTGTCCAGGGTCATATAACTGGTAAACGTGAAAGAGTAACTGTACCTCTGTTTCCTGATTTTGACTCACATCATACACATTATGATTTGGGACTTTGAGACTTTCTAGGCACACTTGAAATGAATTAAAATGAAAATAATTCTTCTCTCTACTTTTAAGGCACCGCAGATACAAAGTCCTGGGGAGTAGTAATTCCGACTCAGACCTTTTCTCCTGCCTGGCCCAAATTCTTCAGAATGGATCTCAGAAACCCTGGAGCACTACTCAGTGCAAGAGTCCAGGATCCCCTCACAATCCAAAAACACCACCCAAGAGTCCAGTTGTCCCTCGTAGGAGTCCCAGTGCCTCTCCTCGAAGCTCTTCTTTGCCTCGCACATCTAGTTCCTCACCATCTAGGGCAGGAAGGCCCCACCATGACCAGAGGAGTTCATCCCCACATCTGGGGAGAAGCAAGTCACCTCCCAGCCACTCGGGATCTTCCTCCTCCAGAAGGTCCTGCCAACAGGAGCATTGCAAACCCAGCAAGAATGGTCTGAAAGGATCCGGCAGCCTCCACCACCACTCGGCCAGCACTAAAGCCCCTCCAGGGAAGAGTAAGTCAGCCAGTAAACTCAGCAGATAGGAGCCAGGCTGCATCTCTGTGAAAGGTGTGAGCTCTTCCTCCTAAACCTGATGCATGTGTGTCCCTGTACTGTCTATTTAAAAAATCTCTGTTGCCCTGGCAGGTGTGGGTCAGTGGTTAGAGCGTCAACCCTCGCACCAAAGGGTCAGGGTCATGAGTTCGATTACTGCTCCAGGGCACGGGTACCTGGGTTTCAGGCATGCTCCTTGGCATCGGTTGGGGTGTGTGCGGGAGGCAACCAATCAGTGTGTGTCTCTCACATTGATGTTTTTCTCTCCCCACCCTTTCCACTCTCTAAAAATCAATGGAAAATATCCTCGGGTGAGGTTAACCAAAAAATAAATAAATAAACAAATAAACAAACAAACAAATAAATAATCTGTGTTGATTTTCTCTTGCAAAAGAAAGAAACATGATAAATTCTTTATAAGGAGACATAAATATATGATAAGGGATTACCTGGTGCATGTAGCACCTACATCAGGAATCAGTGCTTTTGATAGGAAAGTCAGTCCAGCAACTCCAAGAGACAGAAGCTGATGAAAGGAACTCTCATTCTTTTACTGCTTCTTAAACAAAAGAATTGAAGGTAGGAGATGGAATGGAATTTTAAAGGGTTTGGCTTACTTATTTTTTAAGGCTCTACTCAAACATTACATAGCAAAAGTGAAACTTCCTGTTTTAATATTTTCATCCAAAACTTCACAACCTTGGAGATCGAATTGCTTTGATATTACAGTGAGTGAGAAGTCTGTTGCTGCAGAGCCAGTGCAGATATACATATATTTGGCTTGTATGTTTATCTCTGCCTCATTCCTAGTACCCTCCCTGGATTTCACATTTTTTAAAGTTAGTGTTTCTCACCTGATTCAATTTCTCTTCTTTTATTTTAACAATGCTTTCTAATATGTTTTAGCAGCACATGCTGAGAATTTAAAATCCAATTACTGTTTTTTAGTCCCCCAATATTTTTCTTTGGAGCACTATATTCTCAGTATATATATTTTTAAATCCTCACCCTCGGATATTTTTCCATTTATTTTCAGACAGAGTGGGAGGGGGAGAGAGAGAGAGACAGAGAGAGACACAGAGAGAGAGACATCGATGTGAGAGAGAGACATCGATAGGCTGCCTCCCCCATGACCCCAACAAGGGCCCAGGGACCCAACTGCAACCAAGGTACAACTGAGGTACCTGCCCTTGACCAGAATCAAACCCACAACTCTTTGGTCCATGGGCTGATGCTTCAACCACTGAGCCATACTGGCCAGGGCTCATTATATTTTTGTTGTGAGAAATAACTGATGACACTTTGGTAACGGAAGGAAAAGTTAAATAGAGCTAGTTTGAAGGCTTTAGTGCTTTAGGGAGAGAGGGGCAGAATAGGGTTTAATACCCTTCAAGGTAGAAGAACCCTCTCTCCCCATTAGTTTCCTCCTTGTGGAAGGAAAACTGACCAGAATAGACCTTGCTTCCTTAACTCTTCTAGGTACCAACTGTTTCTAATGTCAACCTCCAAGATGATACCAAGGAAATACAGTGATGTAGAATGTGACTTTATGCTTTTAGAGATTTAGAAAGAAATTAGGTATGTTGTTGAGACATAATCCTCAAACTTTGTATTTTATACATTTAGCCAATTAGGAATGAGTATCTGGGGAAATAAATTTAGGTTCAGTATTTATCTTTTAAAGTTTTATTACCTGCTTCTCCTGTGCTTTATTGAACATTTGGGTTTCTTGACCTGATTTCTATGTAATCTCAATTTAGAAAGCTATGAGGAGGATCATAGTTGTTCTAATCTCACTCTTCTGCTAACAGGAATCAGGCAAAATCAAATCATTTTAAACTAAAATTGGCTCTTCTATACTCTGGTGTTTTTTGTGTTGTAAAGATCTTATTAAGGTCAGGCAAATTGGTCTGTTTGCTGTCGAAATTTGCCTTCTAGCAAACATCTGTGCTTTCTCTTTGACCTTGTGTTTACTGCCAAACCTAATATAGTTGAATTGGGGGAAAAAAAGAAATATATTTTCTCACCCAGTGAACATATTCTAATGCTGCATCAAAGTTGCCCTGAAGCTGCACTGAATTTACCTTGTTCTATTTGTTGAGCTTTTTTTTTTTTTACGAAATAAATAAATACATAAAAACAAAATACTGTTGAGGCATATTTGGTCTCCTATAAGAAATGTAGCATAGTGTGGAAACTTAATTTCTTTCTGGTTTCAAGCATTGTAGAGGAATGCAACAGATAAGACACATTTGCTCTTTACCTAAAGCAACTGTAACATTGGAAGACCTATCCTTCTGTATTATATTGTATAATAGTTGCTGTAACACTACTTGCATGTCTTCATGGTAAATTATATAAATATTTATAAATGTATAGAGAAACATATGCTTATATAAACTCATTCTTTCTCATTCTCCATTTGTAATTTCAAGATCACAGATGGTGAAATACCTTTTTAATTGTGTGCCTCGCATACACTTGGGCTTTGCCTATCTTCATTTTCTGAAAATATGTTCTTGGCATGTGACACTTAAGACTCGTCTTGCCTTCCTTGTGTATAATGCAAGGGTTGGCAGTCTTTAACAAGCCAAGATCGGTTATTTAATTTTCATTTTTAAAAGATTTTAATAGGGGAAAAAATTACTGGGATGTGCTTGTAATACTGGTTCAAAGATCTGTCATGTTAATCACATAATGCTTTCCTTATGGTTAGAGTGGATGAACTGAGATGATAATCATGGGTCTGACATAGATTTTTTTTAAAAATACCTTAAAATTACCATTCTGCTTTCCTCTTTTAACCTCACTTTTTGAGGGATGGTGGGGAGTAATCTACAATTAAGAACTTATCTCTTATTCTGTTGTATTAGCTAAATTGTGCTAAAAGTAGTCAGCTTTAAATCCTGACCCCTTTAGTCAGAAATATGTTTGTGGTAACCATTGGAAAAGCTGATGAGGCTGCACTGTAGTGTGTGTGTTATTTTATATCTTATTGGCATTTCTCTGCTAGCAGTCAAAACTGACAGTGATGGCAACATGGCAGCTTAATGCTTTTTCTCTTTCTTAGTTCCTTCCGTTTTTCTCCCAACTTTTCCACTGTGTTGCTCCCTTTTCTAAATGGTACCAACAAACTAAAGATCCAGAAACAGCTTTGTTGTATAATATTTTATTTTGCATGTAGAGAAAAGAGTTTAACCAAAGATTTTTCTGCTTGATACTTTCAAAAGAACACAGACTAATTACATATTAAGTATCAGTAGGTCCATTTAAAAATACTACTGTCTTATACAGGGTGGGGCAAAAGTAGGTTTATAGTTCTTTGTATAGAAAATAATACAGTAATTAAGAAATAATACAAGAATAAACTGTTTCATGTACTCACAACTGTAAACCTACTTTTGCCCCACTCTGTGTAGAGATTTACTTTGTTGGTTTTTAAATACAGTTTGTGCTTTTAGATGTTATATGTCTCAGGCTAAAAAGAGAAGTTTACAGCCTTGAGTAAAGCAGTTTTGGCACAAGGATTTTTGTTTTTCTTTTAAAGTATGATACAGAGAATGAATTGTGTTGTTGTTTTTAGTTCTTTAATTTTACTTTTTTTTTAGTGATGGCATATTTCAGATTTCAGTGACAAATATAAATCATCCAAGTAATTTAAACCAGTTTGATTATTCTAACTAAGGTAAGCGACATGCCCATTAATTAAAGTCAAGCCAAACTACACCAAAAGTATTATGGGGCAGCAGTATATTACCTTTTGAAAATCTAGTGCCTCCGCATTTCTCCTATCACAACAAAGTGGCTGGTTACCTAGTCACACTTGCCCTTACCTTCCCTGTATAATCTCTGGAATTACTTGGATGGAATTAGCAACAGTTTTGTCCCATTAGGTAGCATTCTTTCTAAATTATGCTGCCAAATCTCCAGGGTGTGCAGATGAGTTAAAAAATAAAAAAATTCCACATAGTAATCTTTTTCACAGCTTCAAGGCACTTAACTTTAACATATAAGTGAACAAAAAAGGAAAATTGGGTCATATCAAATTTAACTTTAAAGCATAGATTAGAAACTTGTTTGAATGACAAGTCTTACACAGGCACCAACATTCTCAACTTGGTACGCAAGCTGGCCTTGCTGACAGTGGCATAGCTACATATACTGTTTTTTAAGTTGCACGCCATGAAGTAAATGTTTTTTGTGAAAGTTGCCAAGTTAATCAAGTCCTAAATAAGTAGCAAAATGGTAATTGAGACCCACTGTTATTAACCACTTTATATTATTTGCTTTAAAATACTAAACAAATTCCAGCAGCTTACTAATATAGGGGCCTAGTTGTGCAGTACCTTTTAGTGTAGCTCCGCCTAACCACGGTGGGAACTTGAAGTTCTTCAGTCATCATCAGAGATTCCTTCCAAACCACAGATTTTTATGCAAAAGTTTCTATGGTTGTATTCAGTCTACAGGGAAAAGGTGCACATTGGTGCATGTTTTATAAACTCAGACACAGATAGTTAAAACAATAATTAGTTTTTCTATACCCAGTAGCTTTGAATTAAAAACAGATGCCTTTTTCCCAAGAGCAGAGGATTCTTTGTTCTTGGAACTACATTCTTTTTTTCTTTTTTATCCTCACCCAAGGACATTTTTCCATTTTTTGTTCAGATAGAGTGGGAGGAAGAGAGAGGAAGAGAGAGAGAGAGAGAGAGAGAAACATTGATGTGAAAGGGACACATCAAGTGGCTGCCTCCCGCACGCACGACCCAACCAGGGCCAGGGACATACTGCAACCAAGGTATGTGCCCTTAGCGGGAACTGAACCCAGGGCTCTCTGGACCACAGGCTGACGCTCTAACCACTGAGCAAACCAGCCAGGGCAGGAACTACATTCTTAAAATAACATAAGGAACTGGTGATAAGAGAAAATAGGTTCAGGATTCAGAATTTAGGGGGGAAATGCATCATATTCCGGCTATTTGAAAATATATTTATTTGTAGGTAAGTCTAAATTTAGTTTTGGAGATCAAAGTTTTCACATTAAAAATTTTTTTTCATTCCTTTAAATCAGTCAAAATGTGGCATATGTTAGGGAACCATTTTTCCTATCATGCTCCTGTATTTTGTAAAGTTGTTTACATTCATTCTCTTAAGATCTGCCCATTCCTTCTTATACGCATTTACCACAGATGTGTTGGGGCTTTGCCTAAAGGGAGAGAGATTTTAGCACCTGTATTACTACTGTGGTGATAGGGTGACTGACAACTCCATTGTTTAGCTTTCTTGAGTTTGGTTCTGTAGACAGTTTATTTATAGTTACTTATCTGTACGTGTAAATAAATTTATCTGTTTTAATACAAAAAGTATTACAGGATTAAGGAATGGGGACCACTGTGGTAGTCCTTACAAATCAATATATTTACCCAAGTTCAGAAATCATTGGTGCATACTTAGACTGTAATTTAGAGAAGGAAATAAGATGGTTCTAGTCCAGTGGAAGACCCAGTTGATTGTAGGACATCCCACTTTCTCTGTCTCTGATGTGGACCAGGATGTAGGAATAGAGTGTTTTAGATCTTGCTCCCCAACAATTGTCCTCAGTTTTAGCTCAAATAAACTCTTAAAAAAATTTTTTTAATGGATGTGAGAGTAGTGTGGAAACATCAGATCTATGGATATTAGTAGTTTGGCTGTTCCTCTAGAATTATGAGAAATTTAACCCAGATAGTCTTGAGAGACTGAGGAATCTGTTGCCAGCTTGCTAGAGAAAACTGCAGGAGGTATATGGGGAATTCCTTTAGTTCTTAGGTAACTCTAGAACATGAGATAAGGACCCCTATTCATGTAAAGGGACATTTGGGTGCTGCACACCTCAATCCCTAAAATTCCCTGGCTGGATATGAAATGATATTAAAGTCTTGACCCATGAATACATTTTCTAATTCAGTTGTGATTATTGGCTCTGACTTTTTAATTATTCCCCTTAAGCAAGTTTGGATAAGAAAATTAAAGTATGTGCCCTGGCCAGTTTGGCTCAGCGGTTAGAGCATCGGCCTGCAGTCCGGAGAGACCCGGGTTCAGTTCCCGCTAAGGGCATGTGCCTCGGTTGCAGTTTGTTCCCGGCCCTGGTTGGGTCGTGTGGGACCACTCGATGTGTCCCTTTCACGTCGATGTTTCTCTCTCTCTCTCTCCCTCCCACTCTGTCTGAACAAAATATCAAAAAAAAAAGGTCCTCGGGTGAGGACTAAGAAAATTAAAGTATGTGACAAAATCAAGATCACCTTGAGGTTGTACACAATCACAAGACACTGAATAGCCAAGTAGTAGTACCATTTACTCAGTGATGATTTGAATTATTTCCTTAGACTTTGCTGGATCCTTGGTCGTAAAGAGACATGTAAAAGTGAAACCTTTTCCTTTGTTGCCACATGAAACTGTAAATCAGATCTGCCTCTTTCATTGGAAGTGACAGTTATGGGCATAGTGTGTCTTAGTGGTGATAATGACATGCCTCTCAAATACCCTGGGCCAGGGGTTCTGGGTTCCTTGACCTAGAGAATAGAATGCACTAAGGCAGATCTTTGAGCCCATGTGACTATAGAATTTTCTGATGATATAATTTTACATGCTAACTATGGATAGGAATCTTATTTCTTTCTAGTATAATATTTCATATTGTGTACAGAAGTGTTCACTCAGTTAAAAACATTGAGTAAACCAAGTTTTTGAATAAACTACCCTTGTCATATGATGCTTTCTCCCCTAAAATACACTGTTTAAATCCTTAAAATTCCATGTGCAGCACTTCAGCATACCCGGAGTCTGTCTGGGTGTTCTTCACTCACCCACAAGGGTAAACACAACTACCAGAGCTTGAATGTGATTTATTTTAGGGAGAAACCCAGGGAGGGGGATGCCCTTGGGACTTTTCAAAACTATTTTATTTTTAAGCTATTCAAATAGATAAATCAGTTTGCTAAGATAAAATGTATTCAGAAATACAGATAGGAAGATAAAGGAAATACAACAGTGTGCCTGCCACTTGGGGCTCTGAAATTGAATTGGGTGAACCAAATAAAGAAGAGAACAAACAGATCTGATGACCCAGACTTGAGCTTCCTCACCTCTCCCTCATACACAGCCCCTGGTCCCCTTCCTGAGTCCTTTCCTAAAATAGCCAGTGCCGATTTAATTGGGCCATATACTTCACATTTACACCTTTTAGGAAAAAAAGAGGAAGGGGGAAACATCTAGTTTTGCATTAGATAATAAATCTTGAAAGTTATGGACTATTGGCAGCTGTTAAATTAGAACCACAAACCAAAAGAATTCTCATGTCAAGCAAGACCAGTAAGTTAGCATAGAGGACTTTAATAATTCCAGTTTTCTCCCTTCCTTCTCTTTATGAAATCAGTGATGAGAAATTGCTCTTGGAAATGCCTTGAAAGGTATTGTGTCCTTTTCCCCTCCAAAGCAGCCCTCTTTATGCAGTTTTGCTCAGGCAACCGAGGACATAGAGTATTGGCAGAAACATGGAGTGCTTTTGTTTGGGTCATCTGTACATAAAAGTGTAATTATTTATTTAATTTTCCCATTTGTATCATATTAAAAGCTTTGTACAGTGTTTTAAGTTCTGTTTTAAAATTATTTTGTATTTTATTTTTATAATCTAGTAATAAAATATTCATTCCGCATGCAACTCTAGTTCTATTTGTGTGATGGCCTGGATTTCAAAAGTGGGAAATAGTATTTTTCAAATTTAATGTTATTGAATGCACCAGAGGTTCCAAGATCAAAAGAGACCAGAAAGTATTACTATAAATGCAGTGCTGCATCCAGAAAACATAGAAAAGCAGGACTGAATACAAACTATCAGTATCCCTGCAGATGAAAACCAGGGTTCAAGGTTATGAGGAGATGGATTCTTGTGTAATCAAGTTGAAAATGTTAAAAGCACCCTTCTCAGCCCATCATTCTACCTCTGGCTTGAGGTACTTTTTCCTTCTGGGCAGGTACCTTTTAGTGCACCCTTGCAGCACTAGAGTGATTCCTGCTCCCCACCACCCTCTCGTTTCCACTTGTAACGTTTTGTGCACCAGAGGAACTCTTAGGAGGCATTCATATGGGCACTGCTTCACCCCTTCTGGTTTGGTTTGGCCTGGAGTGTTGGTGCTATGTTTTTCTCTGCCTGGTTTCCCTTTCTTTATTTCTCAGTGAGCAGCAACATCCAAAGGGCTGGCTCTCATGTATTTCAAAATAAGATAAGTTAAAAAATAACTCAAGCTCCCAAAAGCTAATCATGAATATGCCTATTAACATCTCAGTTGCAAAGTAGTTGCAATATTAACCTGGTGTAAACTCATCATTACAACGTGTAGGGATGTAAAGAGAGACTGCAGGGTAGCCTGAGGCACTTCAAGGGTTGTGCGAGGAGGATTATAAAAAGCCCCCCAGCAAGAATTCTGGCTTCAAGTTTAAATGGCCAATCAGTGACGGTGAGTGCTGGAAAACCTATGGGTACCGCCTGGGCCGGGGGGATTAAAAACTCAGCCTTTGAAAAAGGTCAGATGAGGTTAGGCTAACTTTTTTAGGGTGATGACGGGCGAATCTGGAAAACTAACTCTGGAGAGAAAAGAATGTGCCTATCGAGGAAGATACAGGCAGGGTCTCTCTCAAGAGAATAGTTCACCTTTACGGTCTGGCCGCTCTCCCGGCTCTTCGGTCTCTCCCACCGCGTCCCCGGGTCCCGGCAGGTCGCCCCACGGGGTAGGACAGCCAGGGCTGGGGCTCACCCATAGCGGCGCCGCTGCAGTCCCCACACCGCCGGGCCTGTACTCGGCGACTGCAGACCCAGCCCCGGCCTCGACTGGAGGCCTGAGTCAAACCTCACTTAGCCCGGGGAAGTTCCGCCAGCCCAGGCCCCGCCCTTCGCCCCGCCCCTCCGCCCCGCGGCCCAACGGTCTCTCTTCGGCGCCGGCCCCGCCCCTCCCAGGCCGCCCGCGGCGCGTGGCGCCTGCGCATTAGCCTCGGAGCGCCCGGACCGGAATGGCGGCCGTTTTGGAGTCGCTGCTGCGGGAGGAGGTGTCGGTCGCAGCCGCCGTGCGGTGGATCGCGCGCAGCGCCGAGAGTTCGGAGGTAGCAGCGCCGACACGCCCCCAGGCCTGACCCGAATCCGCTTTCTGCGGGAGATACGACCCCTTTGGTCCCCTTGCTCTACGGTGACTGGCTGTCAGCCCGGGCCGAGTACGCTCCAACTGGGGGCCGCTCCGCTGCTCGGGCCCTGGGCTGGCAGCTGACCCTCTCGCCGCTTTTCCCTCAGGATGACCCTGGGGAGGCGGCCGCGCTGAGTTCACTCCGGCCACTGCGGAAGGAATTCGTGCCATTCCTGCTGAACTTCCTGAGGGAGCAGAGCAGCCGTGTCCTCCCGCAAGGGCCCCCAACCCCCGCCAAGGCCCCGGGCTCCTCGGCAGCCCTGCCAGGGAGGCCCGGGGGCCCGCCGCGGGGCGGCCGTGGGGCGCGCAGCCAGCTCTTCCCTCCGACCGAGCCTTTGAGCGCCACCGCCGAGGCTCCTTCGTCGCGCCGCGGGGGCAGGAGGCGGGGCTCCGGGCAGGCCCGCGAGCGAGGGGGCCGCGTCCCTGGGAGCCTGGAGGAGGGGGTCAGCGGGGAGAGCCTGCCCTGGGCGGGGGGCCGGAGGCCTAGGGCCCCTTGCAGCCCAAGCAGCCCCAGCCTCGCGCGCTCTGATCCGCCAAACCTCAGCAACCTGGAAGAGTTTCCTCCAGTAGGCTCGGTTCCTCCCGGCAATGCAGGGTGAGGATCACCCCTCATCCAGGAGATTTGGTGCGAAGGTTGTGCTAGGGGACTCAATGAGTTAGGACTGGGCGCTCCTTAGTAGAGGGTGGTAATTGCTAGAAGGTTGGGACTGAGACAACTACAATGGTGAGGGGCGTGTTGCAAGGGCCCCCAGCTGTTGTCAGGCTGCTTGAAGTGGGAATTTGAGAAAAACCTGTGGCTACTCTCAGCAGGACGAAGCCTTCACGCAGAATCAACCCAACTCCCGTGAGCGAAGAGCGGTCGCTCTCCAAGCCCAAGACCTGTTTCACTTCACCTCCAATCAACTGTGTCCCCAGTTCCCAGTCCTCAGTTCTGGACTCTAGCCCTTGGGGCTATGGCCTTACCCCAGGGTGCAGAAGTCTGCAAGAAGAGCGAGAGATGCTTAGGAAGGAGCGGTATGGCCTTGCTGCTCCCTGGGATGTTAGCGTCCTTCCTGGGGTCAGGGTGGATGGGATCTGTGAGGCTTTCTTTTCCCTTATATTGATTGCCCCCTGAGAACCTTGGGTCTGTTTCCTGGTTTGTGGATGTCCTCTCTTGAACCTGAGATGGCTGTGGAAGGGAAGCCAGGCTGACTGCTCATGAAGTCTCTGTCTCCATAGTTCTAAGCAGCTGCAGCAGTCACTTGCTCCCACCTGTCCCACCCCAGAATTGGGGTCTTCCCTCCCCACCCGGACAGGAAACCTCACAGCTGAACCTGCTGACCCTGCCAAAGTGTCTTCCCACCAGCGCCTGGAGCTGGTAGCCCTTGTCTACTCTTCATGCATTGCAGGTGAGTGAGAAGAAAGGGCATCGGAGTGGAGTTACAGAACTATAGGGTAAGAGAATTGATAAGGCATGTAGAACTGAGCCTAGGTTCTGAGTGGTGTTCAGTGTGCTAGGGTTTCTTTTTTATATACAGAAAACCTGGTGCCAAATCTCTTCTTGGAGCTTTTCTTCGTCCTTCAGCTCCTTACTGCCCGGAGGATGATGGCTGCCAAGGACAGTGACCTTGAACCTAGTGCAGGAGCCCTAGGTCAGTGAGCAAGGCTCTCTTTGAGAAATGGGCTCTGGAGATGGAATAATTCTTAACTGACAGATTGATACTATCCTTCTAGATTCCCTGGAAAGCCCACTATTCCAGAGTGTCCACGATTGTGTCTTCTTTGCAGTGCAGGTTTTGGAACATCAGTTTCAGTGAGTTTCCCCAGCTAAGGCATCTGAGCCTTATTCCTATTGTCCATTTGGTTCTCTGGCCACTTGGAGTACAGGCTTGTGCTTAACACAAGTGTGCATTGACTCTGGACCTTTTCCTACATGTAACCCTTTAATTTTTGTCAAGACTATGAACTTAACCTGTGAAAGAAACAAACTGCTCCTTGTGGTCTTGGTCACTGACCTTTGAGTTAATGTTTCATGTTTCTGTCCTGCTCTCTTGCTCCCTGCTCTATAAGATCGTATTTCCTCCCTTTTTACGTTCATCATCATTGATCCTTGGCCTGCGGCTTTGCCTTACATACCTGCTCCATGCTCCATGCTCCATGCTCCATGCTCCATACTCTGTGTGGTATGCAGGTGCCAGCTCCCTATTTGCACTGTTTGTCCCATTACAGTCATATGTACTCTTGATCCTGTAGAGTTCTTTCCTACCTGGACAAAGGGACCTTGAAGCTGTTGGCTGAGAATGAGCGGCTGCTATGCTTCTCACCAGCTCTGCAAGGCCGCCTTCGAGCTGCCTATGAGGGCAGTGTTGCCAAGGTACTGACCCCATCTTTGATGTCTACTGATCCAGACCTGACCCTACCCAGCCTCATTATTCAGGCAGCCCAGCTCACACCACTCTACTATCCTATGGTCTAACTGGGCAGGAATAAGGGGATGAAGTTTTCTCAGCATGCACTCTGCAGGGTTCTGTCCCTAATGTCACTGCCATATTTTAGGTCTCTCTGGCGATGCCACCCTCTGTTCAAGCTGTCTCCTTTCAGCCAGAAACTGACAATCGTGCCAACTTCTCCAGTGACCGAGCCTTTCATACTTTTAAAAAACAGAGGTGATAAGAAAAGGGAATTTGCGGGGAGGGGATGAGGCCACATTTACTCTGGGATAGGCAACCTTTATCATTTTTATAGAAACTAGAATTGGCACTAACAGGTGTTTTATGCCCATGGACTTGCACCCCTGACCTTAGGAGCCTTTTCACAGGTGCATGACTTTAGTCACAGGGCTTTCAGACAAGAGAGAGCTGATCAGTTTTCAGTATCCACAGAAGTATGTCAGGCATGTGGTGTTCTGTTACTGGATTATAGCATTATCATCCTGTAGAGAACTTTGGAGAACATAAGGAATGGGGCTGTGGGTAGTCCTGTCCTCAATTCTTCTGAACTAGGGAAGGTGCTCCTGGGATTGAGTTAGATCAGCTGGGAATGAGATAGACTGTTCCTCAGTTCATCAGGCGTTCTTGTGTGTCTGTCAGGGATGTATTTTATGAGGTACTCCGAGAGTGGGAAGATCGCCATGAGGAGCCTGGCTGGGATTTTGAGAAGGGCTTGGGCAGCAGGATCAGGTAGGTGCACAAACACTGGTCACCTTGTCTTGCTTGCTTCTAGTAGCAAGCAGCTCAGTGGTGTTTGGGTGGCTGATTGGAGGAAGGCTTTTCTTCCACTGCTTGAAGCTGTTATCTTCTATCCTTAATCTCTCCTGTTATTGCCAACTCTGCCTCTACTCGAAGGGATTTGTCTTGCGAGCTCCTTCTACTCAGAAATGTTCTGTGGTGGTGAATGCTTGGAAAAGTGCAAAGTTCTTACTCCAGGTTGCTTGAGTCTTGACCTAAGATACTAGTGAGATCCTTTCCACCCTCCATTTTCTCCATCGTCTAGTTTGGCAATTCTGATCACTTTGCGTAGCTATATAACTAGGATGCAGAAAGAATGTCCTCTGTCCAGTGATCTATCTTCCATATGGGTCATGAAGTTCAGTGGCTCTCAGTGAGGACTGAATATTAGAGGGGTGATATTATTTCTTGTTTGGTTAAGTGTATCTGTAGGCTTGAAAGGGTCTCACTGCTGAGGAAAGTGTCCCTTATATTTTCCTACATTCTTGTGCTGGCCAACTACGGCAGAAGTCTGCTCAAAGGGCCTGGTAAAGGGCTGAAAGGCCCAAGAATTGGTTTGTTCTCTCAGATCTACCATCTACCCCCTTCCACCTTCCCTTACACTTCGTTCCTGCCTCTTATTCTTCAGAGCCATGATGGGTCAGCTCTCTGCAGCCTGCAGCCACAGTCATTTTGTTCGGCTTTTCCAAAAACAACTTCTCCAGGTAATAGCCCCAGCAGGAAATTAATCTACAGTCAACAGTAGGCGTTATAGACAGCCAAGTAATGGCTGGCACTGTGGGATAGGGCAGACAGCCAGGAAGGTCCTGGGCTGGAGTTTGAACAAGAGTTCTGCTTCTTGGGTGGTAGTTGAAACTCAGGCAGCCAGAGAGGAACCAGGGCACTCTCTCACATGCCCTATACCCCCATCTCCCTGGGCCTCCTCAGTCCCCTTACCTTCCTGCCTGACCTCAGCCTCTTACTGCTTCCTGGCCCTTGATTTCTGCTGTGGTAGACAGAGTGTGGGCTTAAGACTCAGATGAGCCTGGTTTCAGATCCTAGCTCTATTGACCCTAGGCAGATGTTTCATCTTGCAGTTGCAGTTTCTTCACTTGTGAAACAAGAACATAACCCTACCTCAAAAAATGTATCTATGGCATCTGATAGAGGGTTGGCATTCCATAAATGTTTATTATTTCCTCTTTATTTTGTTTAGTTATTCTTTCCAGAAAAACTTACTTTTTTAAAAAATTTTTTATTTCTCTTCTCCCCACTGCCCCAGATGTGTCAGAGTCATGGTGGTGCTGGGGGCACTATCTTGGGTGAGGCTCCGGATGTATTAAGTATGCTTGGAGCTGACAAGTTGGGACGGTTGCGGCGTCTACAGGAACGGCTTGCAGCCCCTCAGAGCAGTGGTGGACCCTGCCCACCCCCTTCCTTCCCAGGCTGTCAGGGATTCTTCAGGGACTTCATCCTGAGTGCCAGCAGGTAAAAGTTCCTGTGTCTTGCAGTGAGTGGGACAGAGGCCAGGAGGGGTTTGGCTTCCCAGAAGGGCAGATGGTTCTCTCTCCTTTGCCTGGAATATAACAGGATGGGACTGGGTGATATCTGGGCTCCTTCTAGCTCACACTTGCTGTTCTATTTTTCCTTATTCTTTTTATTTAATTTTTTTTTAATTTTTAAATTACAGTTGACATTAAATATTATATTAGTGTCAAGTGTGCAACATAGTGGTTAGGAATTTATATAACTTACAAAGTGATCACCTGGATAAGTCTGGTACCCATCTGACACCATACATAGTTATCATAATACTATTAACTATATTTCCTATGCTCTACTTTACATCCCTATGACTGTTTTTATAACTTGCAATTTATACTTCCTAATCCCTTTATCTTTTTCGCCCATATCCCCGATACCCCTTCTATCTAGTAACCATCAATTTGCTCTGTATAAGTTTGTATTGTTTGTTAGTCTACGTATAAGTGAAATTATATGGTATTTTTCTTTCTCTGGCTGACTTATGTCACTTAACATGATACCCTCGAGGTCTATTCATGTTGTCACAAATGGAAAGCTTTCATTCTTTTTTTTTTTTTTTTTATCCTCACCTGAGGACATTTTTCCATTTTTTGTACAGATAGAGTGGAAGGGAGAGAGAGCAAGAGAGAGAGAGAGAGAGAGAGAGAGAAACATCGACGTGAAAGGGACACATCGAGTGGCTGCCACCCGCACGACCAACCAGGGCCGGGGACAAACTGCAACTGAGGTACATGCCCCTAGCGGGAACCGAACCCGGATCTCTCTGGACCGCAGGCCGATGCTCTAACCGCTGAGCCAAACTGGCCAGGGCTCATTCTTTTTTTATGGCTGAGTAATTTTTATTACATTTAGTATGTACCACATCTTTATCCATTTGTCTGTCAGTGAATACTTAGGTTGCTTCCATACTTGGCAATTGTAAATAATACTGCAATGAACATAGGGGTGCATATATTTTTTTGAATTAGTGTTTTGGATTTCTTTGGGTAAATACCCAGCAGTGGAATTGCTGGGTCATATGGTTGTTCTATTTTTAATTTTTTTTTTTTTGAGGAACCTCCATACTGTTTTACATAGTGGCTGCACCAACTGACAATCCCACCAACAGTACACGATGGTTCCTATTTCTCCACATCCTCGCCAACACTTGTTTGTGTCTAGATGATAGCCATTCTGACGAGTGTTAGTTGATATTTCATTTTGGTTTTAATTTAAATTTTCCTGATAATTAAGTTTTAGCATCTTTTCATATGTTTACTGGCTTCTGTATGTCCTCTTTGGAGAAAGATCTATTCAGGTCCTCTGTCCATTTTTTAATTGGATTGTTTGGGTGTCTTTTGGTGTTCAGTTGTATGAGTTCCTTATTATGTTTTGGATATTAACCCCTTATCAGATATATTGCTGGTGAATACCTTCTTCCTTTCAGTAGGTTGTCTTTTTGTTTTGTTGATGGTTTCCTTTGATGTGCAGAAATGTTTTAGTTTGACGTAGTTCCATTTGTTTTTTTTCTTTTGTTTCCTTTCCCAAGAAGATATATCCAAAAAAATATTGCTAAAAGTGATGTCAAAGAATGTATTGCCTGTTTTTCATTTAGGAGTTTTGTGGTTTCAGGTCTTACATTTTGAGTTTATTTATTCATTTTACAAATATTTTTTCTTCATTGATTTGAGAGAGAGAGAAATATCGATGAGAGGGAATATCAATTGGCCGCCTCCTGCATGCCCCCACTGGGTATTGGGCCCACAACCTGGGCATGTGCCCTGACCGGGAATCGAACTGACGACCTCTTGGTACATGGGTCCATGCTCAACCACTGAGCCATACCAGCCAGACTTGAGTTTATTTTTTTATATGGTATAAGAAAGTGGTAGTTTCTTTTTTGCATAGGGTTGTCCAATTTTCTCAACACCATGTATTGAAGAGGCAGTCATTACCTCACTGTATATTCTTGCCTCCTTTGTTATAGATTGATTGGCCATATATGCATGGATTTATTTCTGGGCTCTATTCTGTTCCGTTGATCCATGTGTTTGTTTTTATGCCAGTACCAAGCTTTCTTGATTGCTATAGACTTGAAGTATAGTTTGATATCAGGTAGTGTAATACTTCCAATTTTGTTCTTTCTCAAAATTGCTGTAAGTATTTGGGGGTGTTTTGTGGTTACATATGGACAATAGTTTGGGGAAAGCAGGAGAGGGGAGTAGGAGTGGGGAAGAGGGGGTTAAAGGGAGGAAAAGGGGGGACATCTGTAATACTTTCAACAATAAAGATGAAAAAAGTAAATTAATTTTAGAATTATTCTAGTTCTGTGAAAAAAAATGCCAGTGATATTTTGATAGGGATTGCATTGAATTTATAGATAGCCTTAATAGTATAGGCATTTTAACAGTGTTAATTCTCCCTATCCATGAGCACAGTATATGCTTTCATTTATTTGTATCTTCTTGTTTCTTTCTTCAGTGTCATAGTTTTCCAAGTAAGGTCTTTTACTTCATTAAATTTATTTCTAGGTATTTTATTTTATTTTATTTTATTTTATTTTATTTTATTTTATTTTATTAACTTTATTGTTGAATGTATTACAGATGTCTCCCCTTTTTCCCCCATTGACCCCCTTCCTCCTCCCTTCCCCACAGTATTGTCTGTGTCCATTGGTTATGCATATATGCATAGAAGTTCTTTGGGTTTTGTTTTTTTTTTCCTTTATTGATTTTAGAAGGGAGAAGGAGAGAGAGATAGAAACAGATGAACCTTGGAGGATTACCTGTGTAGGGGCCCACCACACAGAGCAAAACTTACTACAGCAGGCCTCTGGTAACCACTGAGTCCACTCCTTGAATGTGGCGCTTATGGAGGTGGTTGGAGGGTGGTACTTCAGTGTGGTTTGAAGCTGTCTACTGGGTGTGCTGGCTCTGGGGCAAGGTCAGCCACTTAATGAGAGGTATGGGGCTTGCTGAGACCAAACGCTGCTTGTTTGAGAGATTTTTGGAAAATCTGATCAGGATCCAAGACAGACCAATCCTATGGTAAAGCCATTGGAAACAGCTTGGGTGGGCCCGAAAGTTGGATGGGGCCAGGCCTCAGGGAATCACAGGCAGGGCAGACAGTATGAGCCAGGTTGCTGGAGTCCCAGATATGGTGGCTGTCTGGGGCAACGGAAAGGCTCACCAGAGAAACAATGGCCTCTGACAGCAGTCTGTCCAGGAGAAAGCTGCCCCTCCAGCTCTCACCCCCTGGTGCCTTTCAAGCTGCCTCCCCAACACTGGAGCCCAGAAGGAGCGAGTCTAAATAAGTCCATGCATGGTCCTTCAAGAGGAGCTGCCTCGCCCTGGCCAGTTTTGCTTAGTGGTTAGAGCGTCGGCCTGCGGACCAGAGAGTCCCAGGTTCGGTTCCCGCTAAGGGCATGTACCTCGGTTGCAGTTTGTCCACGGCCCTGGTTGGGGTTGTGTGGGTGGCGGCCACTCAGTGTGTCTCTCTCACATCCATGTTTCTTTCTCTCTCTCTCTCTCTCTCTCTTCCCTACTCTCTCCCTCCTGCACTATCTGAAGATAAATGCAAAAATATCCTCAGGTGAGGATTAAAAAAAAAAAAGAGGAGCCGCCTGGGGCTCCAGCAGCCTCAGCCTCCCTCAGCCTCAGTTCCTACTGATTTAACAGCCAGAAGTGATGGGGACTTCTTTTCCTGGCACTGGAACCCTGAACTGGTGTGGGATAGGGACCCCTCACTCCTCAGGGAGGACCTTCACAGCTGAGGTATGCTTTCTGATTTTTATACACCACACGTTGGTGTATAAAACCAGCCCAACTACACCTCCGCCCCTCCTACCAGTCTCGATGTAACTGCTGCTTTAATTTCGTAGTTGTAGGCCTTCCATTCAGCTCAATTTCAGGTAGTTCTGAATGATGGTTGTTCGTAGTTTAGTTGTAATTTTGATGTGATTGTGGGAGAAGGTGAGAACTGCATTTACCTATGTCACCATCTTGAAGGAGGTATTTTATTCTTATTTTTTCTTTTTAATTGATTTTCCAGAGAGAGAAGGGAGAGAGAGAGAGAAAGAGAGAGACAGAGAAAAACATTGATTGGCTGTCTCCTGCATGCTCCCCCACTGGGGATCGAGCCCAAAACCTGGACATGTGCCCTGACTGGGAATTGAACCAGGACCTCTCAGTCCATGGGACAGTGCTCAATCCACTGAGCCACACCAGCTGGCAGTATTTTATTCTTTTTGATGCATTTGTAAATGGGATTGTTTTCTTAATTTTTCTTTGTTTTTTTTTCCCCCTCTACCGCCCACCAACCCCTGCTCTTCTTCCGGTCTCTCTTAATTTTTCTTTCTGATAGTTTGTTATTGATGTATAAAATGAAACCAACTTCTGAATATTAATTTTGTATCCTACTACTTTATTGAATTCATTTATTCTAGTAATTTTTGTTTTTAATCCTCACCCAAGGATATTTTTCCATTGATTTTTTTTTTTTTCATCCTCACCCGAGGACATTTTTCCATTTTTTGTTCAGATAGAATGGGAGGGAGAGAGAAAGAGAGAAACATCGACGTGAAAGGGACACATCGAGTGGTTGCCACCTGCACGACCAACTAGGGCCGGGGACAAACTGCAACTGAGGTATGTGCCCTTAGCGGGAACTGGACCCTGCACTCTCTGGTCCGCGAACTGATGCTCTAACCGCTGAGCCAAACTGGCCAGGACTTTCCATTGATTTTTAAATAGAGGGGAAGGGAGGGAGCGGAGACATTGAAATAAAAGAGAGACATCGATTGATTACTTGCTGCATAACCACAACCAAGGCCAGTGATTAAACCTGCAACCCAGGCACATACCCTTAACCAGTAATTGAACCCAAGACCCTTTGGTCCCCAGGCCAATGCTCTAACCACTGAGTGAAACTGGCTACAGCAGTTCTAATAATTTTTGGTGTGTTCT